TGTTCAGCATCTTAGCTGTAGAGGGCAGTGTCACTGGCCTTCATATGTGGGATCCGAACTGGGGCCCTCTGGCGTCCCAAGCCAGCTCTTAACCAACGTGCCACTTGGCCGGCCCCTTTTCTATGCTTTTTATTCTTGAACCATTTTGGAGTAAATTGCAGACGCCATGCCCTTTTAATACTTAAGCATTTCAGCAGATAAGGACATTCTCTTATAGTCGCAGTTCAAAGACCAAATTCAGGAAATTTAACATCAACCCACTACCACTAATATCCTGTCCATATCATGTCTTTTATAGCTGGTAGTGTTTTAAAGCAAATCCAACATTTCATGTGTAAATAGTTCAGGTACGTAGCTCTAATAGAGAAGGACTTTAAAAAAAAAATAAATAAATAACTGCATGACCATTATCACATTTAACAAAATTAACAATAATTCCTTAATATCATCTAATCCCCAATCCTCAAACAATCCTTTTTACTTTTGCAGAGAAGCAAATAAGAATCCTGTACATTCCAGGCTGGGTGTATAGGAACAAGTCATTTAGTTAACGAATTTACTTGGCCAACCACCAAATCATCAAGTGGGTTGTTACATAGCTAGTAACTGTCATAAAGCAATACACAATTGGTTTCTTTGAATGGAAATTATGCCCAAAATAAATCCAACCATTAGAGTTAGGGTGAAAGGTCTAAGAAAACGATGTAATTTGCTAATCTGGAGATCTGAAAAGACTGCAAAATGCAATATATCTATCTCAAGAATTTACTTATACTGCTCCCTCTGTGACCCTTCTCATTATCACAGAATAAAGCAAAAAGCACCAGTGCAAAGCCAGTGCTGAAATGGAGGAAGTTAAATCCCTTGAAAGTTAAATTTAATGCAGACGCTTTGCAGATAATAGTTACATCAGTATCTGCTAGCTGACTACTGTATTGTGATAGGTTAAGAAGCCACTAAGGGAAAAGCCAGGGCTCACGAATACACATCTCCCCAGCAATCGGCAGTTCTATAACCCATCATTGGTATAACATGAGGTGCAATTAAAATAAGGATGACCTACTTGTGAAAGCACAGGTATTCAGAAAAGAAGTCCTAAGTAGCTGGCCTCTGGTTTGGTGAGGAGGAAAGGAAGTAGGCAAGCAGCACTTTCATTCCACCTCTTATCAAAAATATCCCATCCCACTCCACCCAGCGACATAAACTCCAACAATCAGAAAGTCATTTCCAATAGCAGGTTCTGTTTCTAAATTACACAGACCTCAAGGGAGACTGAGCAGCCTAGTGGGACCTTCACTCCACTACAAAACTCTTGAGGCCTGAGACCTCAGTTTTCCTGTTTCTAGTTACCCACTGCACTCCACTTTGCCATTTGTTAGTACTGAAAATGCTACAAGATTTAAAGCATGCCAGTTACAATGACTGCAAACAATACTGTAAAAACAGGCAGTGTCAGTTTGCCAAAAATGTTCTATTTTTGTTTCTGTTCATCAGACTAAATAAGTAGCTAAATGAATATGCATAAATAGAACTTCAACCTTTTCCATTTGAAAACACCCCAGAATTTTAGCCATTTCTTTTCTATTTGCTCTCTTATATCAATTAATCTCATCTGCCTCACATCTGTAATTTTAAAAAATGTTTTGGTAGTTAGTTACATAAAAAGTTTTACGTAGATCAGTAACCTTTCTAAAAAGAAATACTATTAAGTGTGAATGATAATAATCTTGTTTCTCTCCCCAATGGAAATAACATCTTAATTCACCAAAAATTATGTTTGTTACATAAAAACTAAAATTTATGTCTAATCTGTTACAGTTATGACATAGATGCAAAGTACTAAACTGGGTTTTACAAAACTGATTATAAAGTCATTCGCGAGTCACTGCAGCACACTATAATGTGGGCAATGTACAGACAAATACCCTGTGAACTGTAGTTTGGGTTCATATGGATGTTAATTGATGAGCCAACGGACAGAACAGGCTAGAATGATCACTAAGTTTTAATAGTCTTCATGGTTCTGGGACCCAGATTACATATTTGAAGAATATTCACAAATGCATAATATCAAAAAGCAGGCAAGATTTTTTAATGTAAGGCAGCTTTTTCAAATAAGCAGAAAAAAACAGAAAGGGGGCGTTACTTTATATTGTTATTTTTGTAGAAATAGAGAATAAACAAATCTATGTATTTAAAAATATGAGTATAGGGCCGGCCGAGTGGCGCATTGGTTAAGAGCTGGCTTGGGATGCCAGAGGGCCCCGGTTCAGATCCCACATATAAGAGCCAGTGACACTGCCCTCTACAGCTAAGATGCTGAACAACAGCTCAACCTGGAGCTGGGCTGCCATGAGTTGTTGGCTGCAGCCCCTGCTGCAGTGGGTTGCCATGGGCTACCGTGTGTAGCCCGCAGCCAGCAGCCAGCGTGAGCGGTCAGTAGCTGCCGTGAGCGGCCGTCCAGAAGTGGGCAACTGATCTGCTTCGCCCAGGAAGAGCGTAATGATGGTGCCAACTTGGGCCAGTGAAGCAAGGTCCTCCACAACTAGACTGAAGAACAAAAGGACAGCAACTTGTCTGTTCCCCTTCCCCCAATTCCCCAGCGCTGTTCCCATCCCCCAATTCCCCAATAAAAATCTTAAAAAATATATATATATATGAATATAAAATATTTCAATGCAGATACTGCCTCCATCCCCAATGTTACTTGTGTGATTCAAAACACTGCTAGGTGCACTATTATTTATGCAAAATCATACTAATAAATTTTACAATGTATAGATATATAAGGAAGAGAAAAATCTACTGTATTTGGGTTAAAAGAATGCAAATAATGTTTTCTAGATGCAGTTAGAAGTTTAACGTGATTCTGCAGCCTTCACTTTATGTAGAACTAAAGAGAAGAAAAAAAATTTTAATCAAAATTTAAATAATCCATGACTTTTCACGGTAGGCAATAAGTAAGGATAATACAAAGAGGTTTAAGAAAAATATACTAATAATTTCAAGAAGCCAGCCATGTTTTGGAGGTACCCTGAAGGAATTTTTTATTGCCCTTTTGAGAGGTTTATAGGCAACTCTTTCAAGAGATAGTCCTACATAGCACTAGGCGGAACATCCTAAGGAAACAGTGACACTGCCTCAAATTTTTCTTTCGCCTTTATTCCAAGTTCCTTCTCCAAAGCACTCCATCATGTTCCCTAAGTTGATTGTGCTGTGAAGCCACATAATTCATGGTCACCCTAAGCAGCAATTCAAAATTCCAGAGCCAGAGAACGTATAACAAAAACTTTTTTGGAGGTTCCATTCCTCCTTATGCCTCCATAGATTCTGCTGAGAATCAAAAGCCATCACAATTGATTCTAAAGCTAGTTCATTTTCACCAAACCCCACCGTACCTTGCTGGTGCAGTTATCCTACAGATGAAAGCATTTAAAAGAGAATGAGAACACGGCATAAGCTTCCAAACAGAAAATATGTTGTTTAAATTTGAAGTCATAAATTGAATATGACTTCTCAGAGACAAGCAAGAAAGCATTTAATTCTTTTTAAGCATTCAGTTGAGGTACTAAACTAAATTAGAGCACACATGACAAACACTCCCTTAGCTTCTAACATAAATAATGAAACCCCTTATATAAATATTGTTTCAGCTTCAGCGTTCCACTGTTAAGGAGTAGAAAAGTATAAGACTACTTTAAAAAATATATTATTGGTCCCCAAATCAACAGCATTTACCAGGGCAAACTGCACAAAATACTCCAAAAAGTATTGCATCCTACTCAGAAAAAACTGTATAGGAGAAGAATATATAATAAATACTCATGGTTTTTATGAGAGATATGAAACAAGGCTCAGAAAAATAGTCCAACCTGAGGTCTTTGTAAAGACATAGTTTTTACTCCAGCTTTTACAATTCAGTTTACTTTCATTCTCCTTAATCTCTTTTACTTTTAGTACAAAGTGTGTTATACCTAGTACTAGACTAAAAAGTTCTAAAACAAGAAAGGCAAGGTTACATAAAACGGCCCAAAAGGACAGCCTTCATCAAAAATCATAAAACAAAAAATATATGTAAATTAAAATAAGGAAAAAAAAATCAAGATCCAAATAAAGTCCATGCTTTGCAATAAAAAAAAATAATCATAAAATATAATCAAGTACATTTGCTGAACAGACTCATATTCCCCTACAATGAAGTATATACACCACTTACCACCTCTGCCAAGGCTGAAATGACTTTGCCCAGAGTTGTAAGAGACTTATTAATATTTGCTCCTTCCTGAAATCAATTCCAAACATGAAAGAATTATGATGAAGAATTTCTATTGCCACATCATATATAAATCATATGTAATAGATAAAATACAATTAGACCTATGCTAGCATTATTTGTTTATTTATGACCACAAATTTTAAAAACCTCCGTTAATCCTCAATCTTCCCCCCTCCCCCATGCCTCACGCACAGTCCTACAGTATCTTTGCGATGCTTGTGCTCCAGAAACTCACAGATGCAGCGCTCTTCCCACCAGTCACCAACATGAAATTTCTGCTCTTGTCAAGCATCTCTCTAGGGCAGCGCATGCTTGTTCGCACGTCTGAAGCTCATGTGTCCTCCTCCCATTACTGTCCCTTACTTTCACCAAGCCAAATTCTGCCTGTTCCTCCAACCACAATTCAACTGTCACCTGGACCATAAAGTCCTCCTTAATTATTATGTTATAACTTATCCTTCCATTGAAGTTATAGATCAGAAGTTGGCAAAATTTTTCAGTAAAGGTTTTGTGGGCCATACGGCCTCTGTCGCAACTCTCAACTCTACCAATAATAAACAAGTAGATGTGGCTATATCCCAATAAAATTTTATTAACAAAAACGGGCAGTGGGCCAAATTTGGCCTACTGGCCATAATTGGCTGATCAGTATTACAGAACAATTACTGACTAGGCCATTTATTTGGTAAAATAAATACCTTTAATCGTGTCCCTTTGGCACCAGTTGAATCAGCTCGTTCACTTCCCGCTAGATCCACCAAACTGATTTTACTGACCTGGTGAAGAACAATAACATTGGGATAATTTAAAAATAAGCAACGTAGAAGCAGAAAACATTTAAAGGCAGGAAATTAAAAGATTAAGACATGTAGGAAACTAAAAATATTGATTAGGGCTCTTATACATGACAACATATACTTTTTGTCAATTTAAACAGCACACACAAAAGTTCACAGCAATTATGTTGGCTCAAAAGAAATTATTTTAGGATAGACATATTTTATAATGGTAAGTCATAAAAATATATAAAACTCTGTAGTCACTATGGAAAACAGTATGGAGGTTTCTCAGAAAATTAAAAACAGAACTACCATGATCCAGCAATTTCAGTTCTGGATATTTATCCAAATAAAATGAAAACATTAGCTCAACAAGATATATGTACCCAATGTTCACTGCAGCATTATTTACAATAGTCAAGATATGGAAACAACCTAAGTGTACACTGATTGATGAACAGATAAAGAAAATGTGCATATGTACAATGGAATTATCAAGCCATAAGACAAGAAATGAAATCTTGCCATGTACAATAACATGGAAAGACCCTCAGGGCATTGTGCTAAATTAAATAATCCAGACAGAGAAAGACAAATACTACATGATCTCAGATCAGTGACTGCCAGAGTCAAGGCATTTTTGTTTTGGTGGGGTGGGGCGGTAGGTGAAACAGGTGAAGGAAGTCAAAAGGTATCAACTTCCAATTATAAAAAAAATTCTGCAACACTTTATATAGGCTTCACAATATATTTCACTATACAAATATAGATTCATTATGTTATATCCTGAAACTAATATAATGTATGTCAATTATACCTCAATAAAATTGAAAAAAACAATATATATGTAAAACTCAACATATTAAACTGCATATTAAAAATGAAGCTTCCTAGAACTGGAACTCTCAAACACTGATGGTGGGAATGTAAAAATGACATGATGATTCACTTCGGAAAACAGTTAAGAAGCTCAACATATACCTACCATCAGATTCAACCACCCTACTCCGAGGTATTAACCAAGAGAAACAAAACCAAATGTCCACACAAAAACTTGTCTACAAATGTTCACAGCATCTTCATTTGTAATGATAAAAAAGACACAATTTAAATACCCATCAACAAATGAATCAATGGACAAACTGTGATGCATCTATACAATGGAATACTAACCAGCAATGAAAATGAATTAACCATTAATACACACAATGAATTTCAAAATCATTATGCTAAGTGAAAGAAGCCAGGCAAAAACTAGTATACCATATGATTGATTTATATAGGATTCTGGAAAATGTAAACTAAACCATAGTGACAGAAAGCAGATCAGGGGTTACCTGAGGACAGGGGGTGGAAGATTAGATTACTAAAGGGGCATGAGGCAACTTTGTGGGGTACTGGAAATGCTCCTTATCTGGATTGTGGCATTGGTTTCACAGGTGTATACACGTGAGATCCAGTTTTACACTTTAAATATGTGTGATTTATTGTACTTTAATACCTCAATAAAGCAGATAAAAAAATAAAGCTTTAAGGAAGTTTAGACTAAAGTATCCAAAATGGATTATCAAAGAAACCATGGTTATGGGATTAACATTACTATGTTTGTAGATTTGACATCATGGAAAAAGGAAAAAAATGCTTTCACACAGGATGTTCCTTGGAGCCATTCACATGAATACTGGTTACTAAATAGCATTAATACTGTAACCTCTGGCTAAGCGGTCAAGTGATTTGATCACTTATATGAAGAGTATATTTTTAAAAATAATTTTCAGCTAAAAACAAACAAGTCACCAAGTAAAAGGCTAACTCTAGCTTTTAGTGATACTGGTATCATAAAGTACTCAGTTTACAAAGCAAAGGATCTTTTATAACTGTCTGTACAATAAATCTAACTTCAGATTTCAAATCCAGCTGTATGCGAATCGCTGCTTGGGACGCTTGGTGCTCGGTTGCTCAGTCTCTGCTCCCTGGTTGCTGTGACAGCTCGTCCCTTCCCGGAGCCCAGGAGAGATTGGGTGTGTGCCCGTATGACGCGTGCCCCAAACCAAAGACAAGCATGAAGTGAGATCATACAGAGTAGCAGATAAAACAGCAGCACCATGATTTCCGTGTGGGATGAAATTGGAGGTCTTACACAGCCAGGGGATATTACTGGTTGACCAGGGGTATGCATCCAAGAAAGGGGTAGAGAACTTCAAAAAATTGGGGAATTTTGTATGGTCCAAATTTCAGGGAATACAATCCAGATTATCGAGGACAACAAAACAAAGAGGCACACAGTGAACAGAAGAATAATTCCGTGAATAGTAATATGGGTACAGGCACATTTGGACCAGTGGGAAACGGGGTTCAAAGTGGCCCAGAATCAAGGGGAGGCCTATTTTCTTACACTGGTAGAAGCAATGGCCGGGGCTTATAAACCCACAGCTACAGGAACAGCTAATAATCAAAGTCATGAGCACAGTAAATGATGGCAGGGACCCTGGGAGGGCCTTGAAAAGATGACCTATGCCAAATGCTCGCATATGGTTTTTCAACTACACGCCCTACGTGAACACTTACTGCACTTGTATTTATGCTTAACTGTGAAAACTATGTTTTTTATCGGTTTCCTTTGATGTTTATGTTTTGTTAACAAGAGTGGTTTGTTTTTACAGCAAAAATGTTAAGCTGCTCAAGTCCCCCACTGAAGAATGGGAACACGTTGAAAAGTAGGGCCATTTATTTTTAGAGCAAACAAAGTCTTTGGATATCCTCTAAAAAACCTGCACCATTTTGTGATGAGTTAAGACATCAGCATTATAGCCTCTAGGAGTCTATCTTCTGCATCCATTTTGTACTATTTAAAATAAGGCCTCGTGGGAGATATTCTCTGTCTTAAATTCAGATATTGCAACTAAAGCAATAACCACCAAAACAAAGAAGAACTTGGTCAATGCTAACAGCGACTTGGGAGTATTTGTGACTCCAGGAATGACTGACTTCTTCATTAAGTGACTGTCATGATTTTCCAAGGACAGAATCATCCTGCTCGTTTTAGTACAAAAAACAAAAACAAAAATCTTTACCAGAATTATGGAATAGTATGTGATCTGTAGTATAACAAGTGATTTTTAGAAGAAAGCTACATTTATTTTAGTTTAGGGTAGTGCTATTAATATTTGTTATCAACTTTGAGCATTACACTGAAAAAGAATTTAAAACTGTGGCCTTGAATATTTATTTTTTGAAACTACCACGTCAAATATTAAAGTATAATTTGAGGGGCTATTAAAGTTATAATAAACACTGATCTAATTATTTTCTTTAATTATGAGCGATAAACATTATAGTGAAGGCAATTTAAATTAAATTCAAGGAGAAATACACAGTCCTAAGTTATAGGGTCCTAGGTACTTGCAAAAACTCAGCCTGGAGTATAAATATTTAGGTACTTGACTTTATTTGAAGGGGGTAGTGTGGGGGGTCTGTACATGTGTGTTTTCAAAGTTTCTGAACACAATTCACAAAGCCTTATCAGCAACAGTTAAGACATGGTTCTCTCAAAGAAGCGAAAACAGCTTTATTCAGAAATGTATAGAGTTTGTTTATTGTTACAAATGGTCCCCAGTTCCACTTTTTATTGTAGGGTTGATAACTGGTAAAATTTTCCTTTGTTAGAATTCAACTCTTTTCAATATTATCTCTTGAATAAAAATATGCATTAATGTTAAAAAATAATAAAAAATTAAAATACAGCTGTACACTACTTAGGAATGTAGGCAGAGTAGAATTCAACATAAATTTATTAACAATAACAACAATAAAATTAACATTTATTAAGTGGTTACTCTGTGCCAAGCACTATTACATGCACTTTACCTATATTAATACTTAATCCTATGAGGTTGGTGAAACTGAGGCACAAAGAGGTTAAGCAACTTGCCCAAGGTAACACTGCTTAAAGTGACAGAGCCAGGATCTAAAGCGAGCCGTTTACCTCAAATTCTACTACATTTAACCACTATGGAAAATGAGAAATTAATAAGCAAAGGTATATGAAGAACATCAGAACTACTGTGCAGTTATTTATTTTCCAGGAATAAAACACATCTTGTCTGCCTCATCGTTTGCTTAAACATTTAATCCCACAGTAACATTATCAGAGCTCAAAAAAATAAAAAGCACATAGCAGGCCGGCCAAGTTCGGTAAGAGCGCGAGCTCTGAGCAACAGGGCCACCGGTTCAATTCCCACATGGGCCAGTGAGCTGCGCCCGAGCTGAGCTGCCAACAGGTGGCAGGATGGCTCAGCTGGTGAGAGCTTGTGCTCCTAACAAGGTTTCTGGTTCGACTCCCGCATGGGATGGTGGGCTATGCCCACCAGCAACTAAGATTGAACACAGCACCTTGAGGTGAGCAGCCGTGAGCTGCCGATGGGCGGCCGGATGGCAACTGGGCTTCAGAGTTGAGCTGAGCTAGATGCGCCCTCCACAACTAAGATTGAAGGACAACAACTGCCTGGCTGTTCCCCTCCCCCAATTCCCCAACACCGTTCCCCTCCCCCAATTCCCCAATAAAATCTTAAAAAAAAAAAAAAAGCACATAGCAAAGAAGCTAGTGAGGTAATTAAGAGGTTCTGGTCAAGAAGAAAAGGAAGGATTTTCTCCCCACAAAAACTGCTTAACTCTCTTGCATAGAGAAGCTTTCGAGACACAAAGTCTTGGGTTGTTATTTTGTTTTGTTTTGTTTTTTTGTTTTGTTTTTTTTTAGCTGAGCCATCCTGCCACCTGATAGCAGCTCAGCTCGGACCAGGATTCAAACTGCTGTTGCTCAGAGCTCGTACTCTTGAGCGAGCTCTTAACCAACTGAGCCACTCGGCCGGCCCTGGGTTGTTTTTCCTTAGCCCTATTTTCTAACTTGCAATTTCACTTAAGAACCCATGCTCAAAACTGGTTTAGGGTGGAATAAAAATGATAAGCAGAAGGTATAAAATACCCTCATTAAGTAAAAGGGCAACTCGCCTCCCTTCCACAAAATGAGGAGGGTAGCAAGAGGGAAGTTCTGAAAAGCCCGCTCTCCACAACTTGAGCCCAGAGGCTGAAGGTCTCTTACCTTCTCAGTGGAAAGGTTTGTCTCAGCGTCATGTTTCTTCTGGGTGAAAACAATTGTAAACACAGCATGGGAACGGCTACTTGTCTCATTCATGTTGGTAGCTGCCACTGTCCTAAATAAACATAAGGGTGACCACGTGACAATGGAATTCTTAGAAGTTAAAAGGGACAGAGAGCTCCACATTATAGGCATAACAATCACAAGTAACGGCTTCAATTTACAGATTGTAAGACTGTCACACAAATTGCTCTCAATATACCTTATTTGCGAGTCTATCAAGTTACCCTCCAACTTCAAGGGCACCACATAAGAATCATTGTTCACATTTCAGCTGTCCCTTTAGAAGCCACCGACACATTTAATTTCTACCTTCCATTAGGTGCTCATTTATTCCAGAATCAATTACTACTATAGGCACGAGATAAGACTATTTTACCATGACTTGACCAAAACCTAATGGTAAAACATAACAAAAGTTCTAACGTCTCAGCAGTGCGTTGTTTTGATGAGAAGAAAGATACCAAATTTGCTGAAGCCCTCATTTCTCCAGCACAGCCAAGGAAAGGCTCAGAGGACTCCACAATGATAACACCTGTCATAGCTCTAACTGTGGTCTCAGCCCCTTCACGGGAACAAAGGGCCTCAGAGTGTGCCAGAGACCTCAGGCATTCGTCTGTTTCCCCCATACCTGGCTTTGTTCCCGGCATCCATGAGGTCAGCAATGTCTGTGTAGGAAGTGACTGCCAACTTTGACAGATCCTCCACATAAGGGCCAAGAAGCGGGTGTTCACGCACACGCAAATTACCCTTGTTTTTTGGATTCAGCAAATCTCGTACTCTTTCACAGTAAATTTCCATGTAGCTCACCTAGAAACAAATGATTAGTGAATTAAGACTTAGAAAAAGAAATCCTATACATTAAAAAGGTTTTTTTTTAAACTTTTATCAAAAGCTCTCCAATTAGAGGTCAGCAGGCTCTACTAAGTGAAATGTCATAGCTCTAGTCCCTTTTACTCTATTAAAAGCGTGTACAGGTATCACTGAGTAGGTGAGAACCAAGCATCTAACTTCCACAGGAAGAAGGAGATAAACAGGCCATCTCGGCATGTAGTGGCTACTACTTGTCTTACGCAGAAAAAATATCATTTTTAAAAGTAGCAGCTTATCAGCTATCAATATTTTTTAAACGTATGCTATCATTAGTAATTGGGACTGGAAACAAGATTTCCATTGATGTTAAAACCAAGGAACAATATCAATATTCCAGAGCAGGAAAGACAAAAGAGACCAGAGACTCTTAATACTTTAAGACTGACCACAATGTGATTGATCATGGATAAAAAATTGTCTCTAGCAGAAGGGGTAAGGGTTGGCCAGTACAGAACTCGACTGTGTGGCAGGACCTATCCAGGTCTCAGCGGGGAAGAGGAAACCTCAGACAATAGGCCTCAGGAATTCTTGTCCCATCAGCAGGACCAGTCCTACCATGGAGATGAATGTGTTAGGCTATCACTTCGTCACCTGAGGCAATTAAACACGTGTCTCATCAACTCCTCTCCCTCTAATTCTATGCTCACCCAAAAACCAACAGCATTCTAACAGGTCCGCCCATAGGAAGATAACACCAGTCTTGTTAACTGAGTGTCTGGTCTGGGTAACAGCTATTCCTCATGGCAAAGTAACCAACCAACATGCTGGTTTCGTAACATCAATCAAATGAGCTTCACTCACGAGTCTGACTTTGAAAGATGATGGTTCTTTTCCTAATTTATCTATAAGATCAGATTTCTAAGCAAGCAAGGCTCGGAACTGGGGTAATAAGTTCAGGGGTAACAGCAAGGCTAACTATGACACTTCCTTGGGAATCAGGCACTTCACTATCACTGAAGACTCAAACATATGCTAGAACTTCTGCATTTTTCAACTTTAAATTTCTATAGACATATTTTCAGGGTATCTCAAATGGAACTTTATCTCCATTTCTATTGCCTTTTTATTTTACTCAGTTTAAGATCTATTTTTATATTGTACTTCAAAATCAATTTTTAAATAATTGAGAATGCTGAAAGATAAAGTAATTGATCTATTATGAGAGTAAAACAACAGGACGACAAATAATCTTTCTAAAAGTAGGTCATTGGGCCGGCCGAGTGGCGTGTTGGTTAAGAACTGGCTTGGGACGCCAGAGGGCCCCGGTTTGGATCCCACATATGAGGGCCAGTGACACTGCCCTCTACAGCTAAGATGCTGAACAACAGCTCAACCTGGAGCTGGGTTGCCGTGAGTCACCGGCAACGGCGTAGGCTGCAGCCCCTGCTGCAGTGGGTTGCCATGGGCTACCATGTGTAGCCAGCAGCCAACGTGAGCGTCCAACAGCCGCCGTGAGTGGCCGTCCAGAGTCCGGCAACTGATCTGCCTCACCTGGGAAGACCGCAATGATGGTGCCAACTTGGGCCAGTGAAGCAACGTCCTCCACAACTAGACTGAAGAACAAAAGGACAGCAACTTGTCTGTTCCCATTCCCCCAATTCCCCAGCTCTGTTCCCATCCCTCAATTCCCCAATAAAAATCTTTAAAAAAAATAAAAAAATAAAAAATAAAAGCAGGTCATCCTAAAAAGTGAGGTGGCACTTTAATCATTCTCATGTACTTAAACTTGTACATACATTCCTGAATCCCAGGAAGATATTTTATCTTCTTGGAAAACTTGTCCCTTTTCATACAGGTATGAGACTAAGAGGATCGAAAATAACCTGGTCAAGGTCAATGTCTCTCAAGTGCAAATCTATCTAAAGCCATCACTACTGCTTTTACTTCTGAACCAACCATGACAGACCCCATTTGGCAAATTCAATTCATTAAGCAGCAGGCATTTTCAGGCACTTTGTAGGCACTTGCCATACATCAGTAAATAAAGCAAAGGTCTCTGCCCTAGTGAGCTTATGCTTCTAGCAAGGGAGACTGAAAATAAACAACAAACATAAGAAATAAGCAAAATTATGAAACAGGTTAGAATGTGGGAAGTCCTGTGAGGAAAAAAACCAAAGAACAGGGCAAGGGAGAGCAGGAATGTAGGGGTGAAGGTCAAGTTGCAGCGTTACACAATGGTCAAGGTAAGCCTCTTTGAGAGGGTAAGATGTCAACAAGAGACTGGAAGGTGAAAAAGTTAGTCAAAAAGATATCCAGGGGAAGAAATTTCAGGCAGAAGGAAAAATAAAATGTAAAGTCCCCAAAGTAGGAACATTCCTTGGTGTGTTTCAGAAACATCAAAAAAAGCCAGTGTGCTGGAGCAGGGTTAAGTAAGGGAGAGAAGCAAGAAAGGAGGTAGAGGTTGCATAAATTTAGGGAACCACAGTATCAGATCTACACTGCACTCCAAATAAGCCTGGGAACTCTGACTAATATGAAAGAAAATGGCTTCGTCTCTTATTACCTACAAGCTCAAAACATTCTGTCACATGATTCAAAACAATAGAGACAGGATGAGACAAGCTATTTAGAGAATTCATTTTAACCAAAAAGATTTTTAGAGCAGCACATTCCTCTTTTGGTGTATGATGACCACAAAGCAGAATTCTCTAAAATTTGTAAATTTATGCAACACTTCATAGGTAAAGAAAAAACCCCTAAGTATCTAAGTGGATCAGTGAGGAATTGTGTAAGTCCTATAGATAATCACAGCATATACATTTTTTTTGAAGTACCAAAAAACTAGTTCATTTAAAAAGCAGCTTAATTTCTCAGAACAGCAGCTTCATGTTAACAGAACAGTGTATACACAACACACACACACACACACACACACACACACACACAAACACACACACACACACACGGTCTCAGACAGCGGTCTAGTTTCATTCTGTTGGATGTGGCTTTCCAGTTTTCCCAACACCATTTATTGAAGAGACTTCCCTTTCTCCATTGTATGTTTTTGGCTCCTTTACTGAAAATCAGTTGCCCATATATGTGTGGGTCAGAACACTTTAATAATATTAATTACTATGAAATTAATACCAAAAATGGGGGGAGATATAAAATAATAGCTTCATAAAACACACGCAAAAAAGTGGAAATGTTTATAAAGTAATTCTATAAACCTCTTCTTGAAAGATCTAGGGTATACAATGGCTGGAGAATAACTTTCCAGGATTGTAGGTAATTATAAAGGTGGCAGGGGAGGAGGGAGCAGGGAGAGAGATTTGATTATATGTGCTTGCAAAACTTATGCTTGTCAAAAATCATCACTAATAATATTAAAGGGAGGAGCTCACACAAATGAGTAAGAAAAACACTGCAATCACAACATGTAAACAGGTACAGGCATCATTTACAAGATTGTTCAACCACACTAATAATAAAGAAATGTGAATTTAAGTAAGAGTGAGAAATTTTCCCTTATCAAATTGGCAAAAATTAAAGAACAAAAATACTAAATGTTGGCAAAGGCACAATGGGTGCTTATACCCTCCTGATGGGGTTAAAAATTGGCACTGCCTTTCTTACTAAAAGACCATCTGGGAATTCAAATGTATTGCTTGACAATCAATATACATACAAAGGAAATAAGTGAAAACAAAGCCAGGCTTATGACTAAGGACTTCATTGCAACACTAGTCACTAAAACCAACACTCAGAAAAGCCTGTAAGTACAAAATTGGGGGAATGGTTAAATGACTATAGCACAGTCATAATTTGGAGCCATTTAAAAGTAACATTTGAGGCAATGGAGTACAGAGGCCTCTGGTTTTAAGCCACAGTTGTACTCACCTCTACAGAGTAAGACATTTCTTCATTACAGTTGTCATTGATTTTCTCAAATAGTTCTTCACATAACTAAGGAAGCAGAATGAGAGGTAAATCAGAGAAGCACTAAATTACCCAGGGATGCTAAACAAATTAGCAAGATCCCCCTTATTTTTCCTCAAAAATATTAATGGCATCAACAACAAAGGTGAATGCTTTGAATGAAATAAAAGGATAGCTTTAAATACATTCTTCTTATCTATATTCTCCCTCAATAACAGCATCTCAATAATGTTTGCTTAGAAAGCAAAGGACATTTAGGGGAGGAATTATGTCTCTTACAGTGTTATGTCACTGACACATTTATGTGAATTCACCTCTTCACATTATACTAGACTGACTGTGACTCTACTGTCAGTGCTATTATTGTAGCAGTAAAACTACCATTGAACCACACTTTGCACACATATTATTAATCATGACATAAATTTTATTATATATTGCCAGTTACTAAATACATTATAAATTTATACATACATACATATATTAAGAGAATACATACTATTTGGAAGGGGTAAACGAAAGTATTTTCAAGAATCACTCTAACTATAAAACTTTCCCCTTTCCCTCTGTCTTAAGACTCCAACCCCTTCATGACAGGCTACTCCACAACGGTGACATTTCTAACAGACAATATTAATTTTTCTAGATCAGAAAATTTATAAAATTTCACTATTTCTTGAATTTTCTAAAAATATGTGATATTTTAATAAGAATTAATAAAAATCTACTGAATTTTCATTTGCTATACATTTAGTATTAAGGCAACAATGTCCATTTGGAAAATGAAATATCTGTTCGTGATTTCTTTAGAAGTCTAAGTAGAGTTTCAAATTTATTATAAATGGCAGTTTCTAAAGAATAATCACCTATTAAAAAAATCCATGCTTCTGTATTAAAATAAAATATTCCAAAATTTTACCAGAAAAGAGATACATATGCAATTGTACAAGAACTCCAGTAACAAACAAACTAAAGGAAAAGGAGACAGAAACTAAGTGTGGTGATGGGATAAATGTGACTATTTAGTATAACTTGCTATAATCTACAATTATTTTATTGCCGAAGAAGTATTACATAGTAGTAATAGCAGAGACCCCAGAACTACCTTGCCTGCATTTGGATCCTGGCCTTGCCACTTACCTGGGCCAGTGACATAACCTCTCTGTGCCTCACTTTCCTCATGTAAACTGAGGGTAACAAGAGCACCTACCTCTTAGGGTCATATGAGGAAGACCAGAGGAGCTGGTATTTGTAAAGCACTGACGCCTGTGCTTGGCACATGGGGAGCGCTACCAAATGTTTTCTCTAATTCATATTTTAACTATTGCTATTACTATATACACAGAAGGACAATTCCCAAATATATGTCTTAACACAGACATATATTTTTTACAGAAAAAAGTATATGCTAGTATGTTCATTTTTTTCTGAAAATTTCCTAATCTTTATTAATAATTAAGCATTTCAATTATATAGCTGAATTTAAATTTACAGTCCAATAATCCATTAGAAAAAGTAGCTATAGCTCCCTTATGTATTTTATTCTCAAAATATAGAGATGGTCACACTAGGCCTGTAGTAAAAGAACTTCTAAATTAAACCCAAATATCATTAATAAAAGCAGACCACATTCCTGTTAAAAGAAGTTCCTTCTAAACACCTAAGTCACAACTGCTTTCCACTCCCAAACAATACAAGACCAAAAGACTAACTGCTCTTAAAAAAGCCTCAGGCTGTTAAACTTAAAGTGACAGTATTAAGACAATAAAAGGAAAGTATCTGTAAGGCAATCTAAAAACAACAATAATCCCTTTAACAGGTGCTCTATAAAGGAACTTAGAAAAAAATCAGACCAACGCCATTCACGTGACCCCGGGGTTCAGAATAAAGCCTGTTACATACTATCTCTTTTTAAAGAAGCTGGTGACACTGTTCAAAAGATAAAATAACATGACACTGGATATACACCAAAACCTTTACAACACATCCGCTTTCCCATCTTTGAAGACAGACATGTGTACATGGCCGCCTCTTCCACTAGGCTGTCAGCTCCACTAAGGGAGAGGTGATTTGTCTTTGTGCCTTGTGTATGCTACTCCCTAAATAAATGTTTGTTAAATAAAAATAACTGTTAAAGCCACCGAAGACTAAGAGTAATAATAATGAGCAGAGGTTTTTTGTTGTTTTTGGTTTCTTACCTGTGGAATGATGCCAGCTTGGCTTTCTTCCTGTTTACCCATCATTGTGTAAGATTTCCCAGCACCAGTCTGTCCATAGGCAAAAATACAGACATTGTAGCCCTCAAAGGCATGCAATAGCATTTCTTTTCCAATGTCATTGTACACACGGTTTTGAGATGCAAAACAGGGATCTTCGGGCTGGAAAGATTAAAAGGAGGAAGAAATGGCACTTTACTCACATTCTTTCCTATGCTTATTTGATTACTTCTATAATAAGTGTTTCGAACCAGAATAGTCACCTAAAATATACTATATATATATATTTTTTTTAAGTTCCCCTTACACAGTTTTTCTCATTGCACGCACACACACAGAGGCACTATTAGACTTATCCAGGTCAGCTATACATAAAAATATCTACATGAAATTATCTAGCATGATTACATTTTGTTTTCCCTAACCTTACAAGTATCAATCACTCTTTCATTCACAGGGAGCTCTAAGAAAATTTTCTTGGAAAACGGGACTGAAAGATCAAAGGTCAAGTCCACATATAAAATATTTTGAACTCGTTCCAGGTAGTGTGGCTGTTTGAGTAAACGGCTTTCAGTGAAGAATGTTTCCAACCCTTTGCCCAGGCCCTTCCCTTGCCAATTAGGCGTTGTCAATAGTTTAAAACACCTCCTACTCCAACACAACACAAGGGGGGGGGGGGGGGAGAACAAAAATGCGTAACAGAAGCAAACTCTAGTTTAGGAAAGATCCAAGCAGCCAGGAGACTGGGGATCCTATACTTAGTAAGAATACTGCGAAGGAACCTACTCGCCATCTTCCTAGATGTTGGTAGTCTTTGTTTTCCTTGTATTATAGGACCTGCAGGCTCTTTCAAAATGTTCCAAACCCACATAGTTCTCCCGTGCTGCACCAAAAATACACTTACCGAGGTGTGAGACCAGTAGGAGTAGTCAAAGCTGAAGGACTTTGGAGCTTCCTTTGGGTTCTTTGGGTTAATAATACCTAGAGGATGAAAATGTGTTGATTTTATAAGTCACTCAGTTATTATATGCTCTTTAGTTCAACATGATGTTACATGGTAAATTCAAAACATCCAAATCAGTAAATTCATACCACTTAATCTGAATAGGGCAATCAAAAAAATCACATTTTTAACAGGTGCTCTTTATAAAGAGTAACTAGGTGTCACCAGGATTCAGAACAGAGCCTGGCACACAGTAGGTGTTCATTAAATATTTTGTGACTGAACTCTAGGTAAATTAGCAGCCAAAATCTGGAAATGGACCATGTTACTATTTCAAGGTGTTTCATAAGGCTTCAAATATTTCAATGCATCAGAAATAAAAGTTTGAAAATTATTGAAATAATCTAACCACTATTTGAAACGAACGTTTTAAAGCTCTTTTCTACTTCGGAAAAGCATCTGGTAATGAAGCATTCATTGAAAAGAAAGAAATCCACAGTTGATAACTTATAAGTTATTATGTGTGTGTGTGTGTGTGTGTGTGTGTGTGTCACAGACCATTAAATCACCTGTAGAACGTTATAAACAGCAAAACTACTTTGTGACTGAAAAGCATGCAGTCTCACTGCCCGTATTAAGTGGTTTCTCACGGGATTAATCCAGTCACACTCCACTCCAGGGACTGACTGCAAATGCTGAGGCTTACTTAGCCTCTCTCCCTTCCTCATACACACAAAGCTCTGGCTCCTCATATTTCACATGGAATGGAATCCTTATAACATGTTTCATGAAATCTCCTCAAAGACCAGCTATCCCAACCAATCCACTTCTCTAGGGCAGAGCCACATCCCAGGGTATCAGTGAGATCAGGATTAAAAAATAAATCTGTCCGGGGCAGCTGCTGCTCAGGGCATAAATAGCAACAGTTGCTATGGTGCGTAGTTCTCTCTCTTGCTGGATTCCGCTGGGTATGGCTACACATTCATGTTCCAACCTCAAATGCTGACAGAGTATTAATAAGGCTCACACAGCACATAATCATGTGACAAGGAGACATGGTTCTAGAAAGAAAGTCTCCCTACACACAGATGGTAACCTAAGCAAAGAATGCTTCTAACCAAAAGGCACTGCGTATAAGATTGAAATAATAACCAACATTCATGGAGTGCTTGATTCAAACTGTAAATTCAAACTGTGCTAACCTGATTAATCCCCCAGCCATTCAATAAGGCAGATGTTTTATTATTGACATTTTATAGATAAACCATCACAGAGGTTAAATAACCTACCCAAGGACAGAACTAGCTAATGGCAACCCAGGAAGTGAATTTGGAGAGTCTGGCTCTGGAGCCCACATTTTTAACCAAGGTACCCGTCATTTAAATATTTATTGCCTATATGCAGCTATTGCCACAGCAAACACTGTAAGGCATTTTTTAATGCTTATGCATACATATATATGTGTATGCACACGCATATGACTACCCGCCTAAAATTATACCATGGGCATTGTTTAACTCTCCTTACCCATTTAAAACTAGAAACTTGAGGATTATACTTCCTAAAACCTGAAAGACCACAACACAAACTCAACCAAGAAAACGGAAGTTAGGGTCATACTGCGTGTACCAGATTCTAGGTTTCAGTGGCTCAGCAATAAGGACAATGACAAGATGTAGGATGTGACACTCAAAAACATGGTTACAATACACACCTCTAACATCTAAAAATCTGCTGTCATAAAACTTTGAAGCCATGTTTCATTCAGTCTTTTAGCTACTCGCTGGTGGTACCACTTATGCCAAGAACAGCTTAAGAAAAAGCTAGCTTTCGGATTCTACCCCTTTGTTCCCCTTTCCCTAGTAAAGAAAAAGGAAAACTACCACATTGAGTAATTTCCTTGATTCACATAAAATCCTTTTCTTCAATTTCCTTCTCCCAGATCTTCGAAAGTTCAGAAACTAATAAATTGTCCTAACTTCCAGCTTCGAAACCAAGTTGCTTTTTATTTTATTTATTTATTTTTTTTTTTTTAAAGATTTTT